AGCTAGCATTTGTTGCCCTTAACGCAGAGAAACTAAAGCAGATACCTTAAAAGCAACTGAGGCCAATAGGAAAAGGGGAACAGGTACTAGAGAAAAGGTTAGATCAAAAAGAATTAACCTAGAAGGTAACACACACGCACAGGAAATCAATGTGAGTCAGTACCCTGTATAGCTATCCTTATCTCAACCAGCAAAAACCCTTGTCCCTTCCTGTTATTGCTTATACTCCCTCTACAACAAAATTAGAAATAAGGGCAAAATAGTTTCTGCTGGGTATTGGGAGGGGGGGAGAGGGAGGGGGCAAGAGTGGGTGTTAAGGGAGGGGGTGGGGGCAGGGGGAAGAAATGACCCAAGCCTTGTATGCACATATGAATAATAAAAGAAAAAAAAAACTAACTTAAATCATTATTAATACTTTAGCCACCTATTCAGAGTCCCTGATTATTCCAACCAGCAGAAATGAGATAGATTAATTAAATATTAGCACTGACCCCATAGTGTAATTACATTATGATTTGAAAGGTACTTTTTTTTTGGCTTATCTTTGGATAGATTACATTGCAGATCAGTCCTATGAATTTTGTCTTTATTCTTTGGAAGAGCCTTAACTTTATGTAGCAATAATGTTTAGATTTAAACTACTTTTCTGTGAATATCCAAGTATCCTTTGAGAAAATTTTTAATAAAGAAGGGTTAAAACTCAAAATTTCTTTAGAAAACTGCCTCTCTACTTCAGTCTTACTTTTAAATTACAAAAGAACAGAAGATTCTCTTAGACATAAGTATTTATTCACATATACTCTTTCTGCAATTTTAGAAAGACCAGATAGGAAAGGTGATAGGGGAAAAGTTGTAAGACTAATTAAAACTGAAGATTTTGTGATGTCTCTATATATGTGTTTTGCAGCCTGTGTCCACGGTGGCTCCAACAGCAGTTACAGAAGCAGGAGCACAGCCTCAGAAGGATGGTGAGATGCATTCTTCTTCCTTTTATATTAATCCTCCCAGTCCTACCTATAATTCACAGGAGTTTGGTGGGGTTTTGTTTTCTTTTTGTGGTGCTAGGAATTGCTGTTTCAAATACAATCTTGAGAATGGTGGTATATTTTAGACTGTTACAAGCAACATTTTTATGTGTTTCCTGTTCAAGGAGCATTGACATCTAAAGCATATTAGCAGATTTATAAGTCTTTTGTGTGGTTATTGCAAAAAGGGGTGTTTTAAGCATTGGATAATGATAGTTTCTTAGCATAGAAAGCTTTGTTAACTAGGCAAAATCCTTGCTATAAGAGGTCATGCAATAAAAGCATATTTATGAAAGTCAGTTTACAAGCTGAGTGTAGTGGTACATGCCTATAATCCTAGCACTGGGGGGGGTTGGGGGGACTGAGACAGGATGATCACAAGGTTGATGCCAGTCTACATAGTTCAGAACACATCTGGGCTACATAGCAAGGCCCTGTCTGCAAAAAAAAAAAAAAAAAAAAACTCAGTTTATAGGTAACTTCTTGCTTTTTTTTGGGATGAGGGGACTACAGGAGTTTGAACTCAGGGCTTTGGATTTGCTAGACAGGTGCTCTACATTTTGAGCCCTGCCCCCATCCCTTTTTGCTTTTTTTTTTTTAATAGGATCTCTTGTTTATGCCTGGGCTCTCCTGGACACCATGATCCTCCTATTTATACTTCCCTCTGTAGCTGGGATGATCTATATAGCTCCCCCACCACCACTCCCACCTTTTTACTGGTTGAGATAGGGTCTCACCAACATTTTGCCTGGACTGCCTTCAAACTGCCATCCTCCTAATCTCCATTTTCCAAGTTGCTAAGATTACAAATGTGAGCGTCTATGCCCAGCACAAAAAACCAAACATGTAAGCAGTTGAACAGACTAGAAATGGACAAAGTAAAATAAAATGTATATTATCAAAAGATCGTATCATTCACCTTAAACATATATACAATAAAAATATATTGATTAAAAGTTAACCAACAAATAAAAAGGAATGTAGAATATAAAAAAGATGGCCCTTTTAAATCAGTGAGAAGATAGAGTATTTTAATAGTTTGGGGCACCTGAATAGTCATTTCAGTGAAAGCCAAGGCAGATCGCTAGCTTAGATCAAAGTAAGTTCCAAATGGAGCAAAGATGAAAAGTAACATAAAAATAGGGGCTTGGTACGTGGCTGAAAGTGGTACAGTGCCTGCGTAGCAAGGTGTGAGCTCTGATTTCAAACCCCAGTACCACCAAAAAATAAAGGAGAAAAGAAAAATACCATAAAAATAGTAGTTTAGTAAAAAAGTTAGAGTGAACTCAAGGTTCAAATGGCAGAGACCCTGAGTTCAATCCCTAGTACTCCCAAAAAAGAAACTAAGAGTATATGCATATATGAAATGTCACAATGAAATACATTATTTTGTACAATTAATATACACTAAGAAAATTTATAAACTCTTGAACCACAAAAAAAAAAAAAAAAAAAAAAGCATTTTTCCTAGAGCAGAGTCTAGAAACTTTTTTCTTTAAAGGCCAGATAGTAAATAAGGCTTTTCCAGTCAGGCTCTTTGTCACATCATACTCAAGTCTCCTGTTAATAGTCTACAAAAGCAGCAGTGGGCAGTACTTATGTAAGTGAATGAATTTGACTGTTGTCCCATAAAATATGTTTATAAAACAGGCAGTGGGCTGAATTTGGCCCACTGATCATAGTTTTCTAATCTCTGAACTATAAAAGATGTTAATAAGAAGGTATTACTAAGTTAAATACTCAAACCAGAGCAAGCAGTAACAGATTTAAAATGTGTTGAATGGCGTGGGGGGAAGGTGACATTAGTACAAAAATAAATTAAAAACTAGGGAAGTATATGTGTGTGTGTGTGTGTGTGTATTTGTATGTATTGTGGGCATGTGTTCATATCATAGAACAGACTAGTTTTGCTAATATGAGGAGTTCCTAAAATTTAGGAACTGACAAATAATCAAAAGGTAAAGTAACTTAGGTGTGAAAATACTTCCTTACTAATAGAAATGCAAAGCAAAACTACCACCTGTCATTGGTAAACTCGGGGTTTAATGGCCATTGGTGACTCAGGAAAGCCTATGAGATCAGTTTAGTAATGTTTGTCAAAGCTTTAAATGGAAACAATTCAGCACTTCCAGGTTTAGCCCACAGATCTACAAGAGGCTGTTTCTTACACTACTTTTAAAATAGCAAGAAATTCTAAATAATTTCAATGTCCATCAGTAGAAGCCTGATTAAAATATATATAGCACATTAAATATATGTGTGTATGTTTTTATATATTACAAAGATGAAATACAAGAAATGTGGAGTAATCTTTAAAGATGTATCATTACATGGAAATAGCAGTCATACTGGTATATGTCTACAATATCGCTGGAGGAAAAGAAAAAAACAAAATCAGAGGGTTGTCCCAGGGGGAGGACGTGGGTCCTCCTCAGAGTTACTTATCTATGATACTGAAAACTGTACTGTCCTTTTCTAGAACTTTGTCTAAGTGTTGCATTCAGAAAGGAATATAACTGGCTTGCATTTAAAAATAGGTCTTTAGCTGGGCACAGTGGTGCATGCCTATAATCCCGGTATTTCAAAGGCTGAGGCAGGAGGACCACAGATTCTAGGCCATCCTGGGCTACATAGTGAGCCCCTGTGACAAAAAAGGTGTTTGAGGTGAGGGAGTGTCTTTAATGTTCTATATTTCTGTCAGAAGGGCAAAGAAGCTAACTTAAGAGGTGTTAATTTGTTTTCTTCCATGTATTTCTTTCAGTATCTCAAGGCACTGAAGGCCCTGTCCTAACAACTAGTTCAGGAGCTGGCGTTTTTAAGATGGGGCGATTTCAGGTAATCATTTTCTTTGCCCTTGATCCCCTCTTTTCAGAGAGTGGCCTTGTATAGGATTATTTCTTACCTATTTGGGACAGAATTGCCAATCTAATATTTTACATAGCATTTAATAACTTTGTTTTTTTCCCCTCACAAAAGTAATTTATACTAATTAAAGAAAATATGGAAAACTTAGAATATAAGCTGGTGGAGTGGTTAAAGTGGTAGAGCACCTGTCTAGCAGTATGAGGCCCCTGAGTTCAACTCCCAGTACCACCTCCCCCTAAAAGAGTCATATTATCTTCCCACCTACCACCCAGGATTGCTTGTTCTCTCTAAAGTTGTCCACTGCTTCTCAGAATTACACTTTTTTGTTGTTGTTGTTTTGGCAGCCCTGGGGTTTGAACTCAGGGCTCTTATCACTTGAGCCACTCCGCCAGCCCTGAATCTACTTTAGAAGCCTTTCTTCTCAACTGGTAGTTGGCTTACCTAACCATTCTCCTATTATTGGTCATTTAGACCATTTCTAGTTTTTCTAAAATAATTAGGAAAGTGACAATAAATATCTTTGATGTAAAGATATTTTCCACATTTAAGATAATTTTCTTAAGATTAACTCCTAAAATTATAGTGCTAAATCAGCATCAAGTGATACCATGCCATTTTATTTTCCCACCTGGCTTTTAATAGATAAAAAGTTAAACAAGCTTTGAAAATCATTTTTAAACTGCTTTCCTAACTACTTTTAAGTTATTTTGATGCTCACGAGTGATGGTTGTTATTTTCCTCATTTATAAACTGAGGTTCTGAGAATTTGTAATTGGGCTCAGTTTGTATTTGTAATTCATGGGCAAACCAGTACAGGGATCTGGTTCTTCCCTTTCAGTCCTTCTTACTGGTATTGTTGCTGAAGCTTAGCTAGCATGTAATGTTTATTGGATACTTATTTACAAACCACCATCAAGATTCTGTAACATGGTATTTATGTTTTGACTAACATAAATCTGAATCCTGTGTATGACGTGAGATATGGAAATAAATCATGTAGTCAGTCCACCACTCAGAATGTACATCTTCGTTCTGACATGTTGTTCTCTGTGATGGTATTCAATTTATTTTCACAGTCAAAGATGGAGAGACTATGACTAGATGTGTGGATCAAGTAATAGAGCACTTGCAGGCCCTCAGTTCAAACCTCAGTGCCATCAAAAAAAAAAAAAAAAAAATGCAGAGACTGTGAAAAGAGAGAGATTCAGCCTGTTCACTGACTAGGAAATAAATTGATTTCTTTTTTCTCTTTTTTTTAACAACCCATGCTAGAAAGTGAATATTGGGGCCTTCAGTTTTTAAATCTCATTTTATTCTCCTTTTTTTTTTTTTTTTTCATCAGGTTTCAGTTGCAACAGATGATGCCCAGAAAGAGAGTGAAAACAAGTCAGAAGATGCAAAGTCTGTTCATTTTGAGTCCAGCACATCAGAGTCCTCGGTGTTATCAAGCAGTAGCCCAGAGAGTACCTTGGTAAAGCCAGAGCCTAATGGGATAACAATCCCCAGTGTCTCCTCAGATGTGCCAGATAGTGCCCACAAAACTCCTGCCTCAGAAGCAAAGTCAGAAACTGCACAACCTACCAAAGTTGGACGTTTTCAGGTGACAACTACAACAAACAAAGTGGGTCGTTTTTCTGTATCAAGAACCGAGGAGATTACAGAGGTCAAGAAAGAGGAGGAACCAGTGACATCTCCTCCTTTCAGAGATTTGGAACAAGCAGTTCTCCCTACTGTGATACCAAAGAAAGAGAAGCCTGAGCTGTCAGAGCCTTCACATCTGAATGGGCCATCTTCTGACCTGGAGGCTGCCTTTCTAAGCAGGGGTATGGATGATGGCTCAGGGAGTCCACACTCCCCCCCTCACCCATGCTCAAAGAGCCTTCCCATCCAGAATCTAAGTCAAAGCCTTAGTAATTCATTCAACTCCTCCTACATGAGTAGTGACAATGAGTCAGACATTGAAGATGAAGACTTAAAATTAGAGCTGCGACGACTTCGAGAAAAGTAAGTGTATTTTACGCTTAAAAGAGTAATGGCAGGACTAGCAGTGTGGCTCAAGTAGTAGACTGCCTGCCAGGCATGCACAAGGCCCTGAGTTCAAACCCAGTACTGCCAAAAAAAAAAAAAAAAAAAAAATGAAAAAGATAAAATAGAGTAATGGCAGATATTGTATTTAGACTTAGTTTTTGGTGCCAAGATTAATAGTCTTTTCACTACAATATGCTGATGTTGTATTCCTTTTAAACAGGATAAGATGCAAAAGCTAAAGGTTCCTGAATATCATTCATTCAGTTCTTTTACATTCATCAGTACCCATGGTATTTTTGGTTATGGGATTTCTTCAGCATCTTTATATTGTTACTATAATATTTTTATTAACAACATTTTTTATCACTATTAACCACTCCTGGCGGTTTGTTAAACTACCCCAGTTATGTTGGCAGGTTTTCTTAGCTACATTTGTCAAAACTGGATCAAAGTAGCAAATTCGCCTGTCCTGCGTATGGTCAAGATATTCACCTAACGCATTATCAGCCATTCGCATTTGACTAGGAGCTCAATGAAATGTGGTTTGGGTGACTGAGACCAGGAAGATGGATTAAAAACCTAGAATCTCATGCTAGTATATTTGGGGAAAAGGCCCATAGCCAAGGAAGTACTTGATTGCAGATTTAAGAATATGCTTTAATTTTTGTTTGAACAAAGGTGGTTATGATATTATGTTTGGTGATCTTTTGTAGACATCTTAAAGAGATTCAGGACCTGCAAAGTCGCCAAAAGCATGAAATTGAATCTTTGTATACCAAACTGGGCAAGGTTCCCCCTGCTGTCATTATTCCCCCAGCCGCTCCCCTTTCAGGAAGAAGAAGACGACCCACTAAAAGCAAAGGTAGCAAGTCTAGTCGCAGCAGTTCATTGGGAAATAAGAGCCCACAGCTTTCAGGTAAAAATCCCTAGAGAGCCATCTTTTGTTTCTGTCTCCAACTATATACTTGTAACCTATTGAACATTTGTTATTTTTATTAAATTTCAAAGAAGTTTGGTTTTCCTAATATTCTTCCTTGACTTTTTTATTCCCATATATATTAAACCCCCCCCCCTTTTTTTTTTTTTATTGAACCCAGTACCAGGGATTGAACAGCCTCATGCTTGGTAGGCAAGTGCTCTACCACTGGAGCCATACCTTTTAGTCCTTCTGTTTTTATTTTGTTTTTGAGATAGGGTCTTACTTGCTTTGCCTGGGCTGGTCTCAAACTGAACTTCATTTTGACTGTATAGAAGTAGGCTGGAGCTGAGAGCCAGTCACTTGTACCTATAATCTTAGCTTATTAGGAGGTCAAGATTGGGCGGATCACAGTTTGAGCCAGTCCCTATGAATAGTTCATAAGACCCCATCTCCAAAATGACCAAACCAAAGTGGACTGGAGGCGTGGCTTTAGGGGTAGAGTGCCTGGTTTGCAAATTCAAAGCCCTAAATTCTAATCCAGTCACACCAAAAAAAAAAAAAAAAACCAAGCAGACTGGGTGAATTCAATGGTTTTTTCCATCGTAATCCATGTTGCTATCTCCAGTAGTCTTCATTTCTCATTTATAGTTGTTTTTTAACCTGCTAACTCGTGTACCTCACATTTAATCAAATTCTTGAGCATTTGAAAGAAAATACATTATTCTCTGTAAAGTAAACTTCAGGTAGCTGAAGTTTTTATGAATGAGTTGATCATAACTGCAGCTAGGATGATTATAAGTGTCACATCGATAGTTGGGTCTGTTTACTCTCCAGGTCTGATTTAGGTATTTTGGAGAGCATTTTCAAACTTCTCAACTCTCCATTTTCTGGAGGCCTTCATAGATGCCCAAACCTTTTCTTGAGCACATGGCTAATTCAGGCAACCTATTAATAGAGATGTAATTATAAGAGAAATCAGCTAATTTAAATTCTGACATGAATTTTGACATACTTTTCAAGTGGACATCTATTTGGCTAGTATTTAGGGAACACAGAAGTTAAATCAGTTTTTTAGATAATTGACCTAACAACTGAAACCCGCTTACCAAGAATAATTTTAAATGTTCTATTACTCTATAGTCACCTACATGACTATTTGACATCTCTTTTGTATCTGACCTGATGCATGTTCAGAAGAAAGTCTAACAACCTATTTGTATAATATATAAGGGTAAAAAAAGTAATTGTGGAAATGCAAAAAATGGAATCCTTGTATTTACTGCAGAGTACAGTCTGTTGTCTTATGCAGCTTAGACTTAGAGCCATCTAAGTTATCTAAAGCTAAAAATCTCTGATAATTCATATAGCCTAAAGATTCATATTATCATCCCTCACTTCCCCTCATGTTAATGGGGACTTTGTCTCTTCCTCAATTAAAGGGTTTTTTGACCCATCATTAATCATTCAGTGGTATAAATTGAAGGAATCAGAACAGTGCCTGCAGAGTGCATTGGGGAAGCTTTATGTATTTTCTCAGAACACTTTATCTTTTGTCAGGTAACCTGTCTGGTCAGAGTGGAGCTTCAGTCTTGCACCCCCAGCAGACTCTCCATCCCCCTGGCAACACCCCAGAGACTGGGCACAATCAGCTGTTGCAGCCTCTTAAGCCATCTCCCTCGAGTGACAACCTCTATTCAGCCTTCACCAGCGATGGTGCCATTTCTGTACCAAGCCTTTCTGCTCCAGGTCAAGGTAAAAAATAAGTAGCCATCATCTTCCAGAAACATTAAAATGAAGATATTGCCATAGCTGGGACAAAAGCCTGATGACCAGAACAAAGCTTTCGTGTTGTACAGTGACCTATCTTTAGACTAGGCAGGGAGGTGAAGTCATGATGAGAATCACTAGGCTTATTGCCCTGAGTCTTCAGATGAAATAGCTTCTTTTCAAGGGATTATAGTGGGAAGTCACACCTGCAACCTATGTGAGTAGCTTATTTGGGATTTGGAATTTAGGCATTAATTCTAGGCTGAGATATCCTAGGCCAAAGTCTAAGGAGTTCTAGCAGTTTCTGAAAACTCAGGTGTTTTCTTAGAGACTTTAACTTCTAAATGTGGTAGTGGCATACAAAAATGACTGGTCCTTTTTCATAAGAATTGAAAGGAGCTAGATATCTGGGTAAAAAAGAATGAAAAACACAAATAACTAAAGTGCCTGTGCCATACTTTCATAGAAATTAGATTGTTTCTTCATCAGATAAATATGTTTGGTAAGGAACCACACAAAGTAGCTAGCATTATTCTAACTGCAGACAGGGGACTGAGGCCTGGTACTTCCTGTCTTAACATATCTGACCTTCCCCTGGAGCTTGTTCTTCTGTGTGCCATCTTAGTGCGTTTCACCACTCCAGCCTCAAGTTTCTAACATCTTGTAGTTGTGTTCTGTCTCTTCTCCTCTCTCTGTTCTTCCCCCGTTTTCCCCCTCTCACAGGCTGTGCGAAGTTTAACTGTGCATCTGAGCAGGTGACATTCAAACCTGGTGGCAGAAGGACCCGATTTCTGAGTACGCCCTGCTTGGCTCTTTGTGTGTAACACCTTTACTCCTTCCTCGTCCTTGTTTTTCTGCTGCTTTTGGATCTGATTTGTCACGCAGTCCATTTTCATTTGTCTCTTTGTATGTCATCTATTCAGTGGCTTGGCTGAATACTGTTACCCTCAGAAGTTTGGGTCCCCATGTTAATTATGGCAGAAGATGCGAAAATAACAGTAGTTTTCTATAGACTTAAAAATAACTCCCTGGTAGAATTTTTTCTTTCTAGCTCACAGGCAGGCTAAAGGTGATATCAAGGGTATAGACTGTGGGTCACTGAGTATAATGAAAACTGTCCTCCACAGTTGTGCTCAGTGCCGGCTCCCTGCCCTGGGATTAGAAGTAACCCCTGATGCGCTTAGGTCCCGGTAGCAGCTAAAAGTTTGCCATTTTTTCCATTCTTTGTCCTCAATCTAAGCGTGAACCAGTAAAGTTGTCATAAATTTCTCCATTGAATCCTTCTACCACTACTGCTTTCTAATGCTATGAGATTGGTTGTTTCAAAAAGGGTTTTTAGTGGGGTTATCCTGACAAAGCAGTTTAATTCTATTAAAGACAAAGGCCCAACATCTACAAGTGAAAATTGCTTTTTTAATCCGATTGCTAGGATTTCCTCACCTTCTATTGAAAAACGGGACAGAGGGCTGGCAGAGTGGCTTAAGTGGTAGAGCACTTGCCTAGCAAGCATGAGGGCCCAAGTTCAAATCTCAGTAACAAAAAAAAAAAAATCAGAATATATAAAGATAAATGCATTCCATACTAGTTGGATACTGATGGCTTATTTCAGTAATCCTAGCTACTTAGGAGGGAGACATCAGGAGGATCGCAGTTTGAAGCCAGCCCAGGCAAATAGTTCGAGAGACCCTGTCTCGAAAAATCCCATCATGAAAAAGTGCTGACGGAATGGCTCAAGGAACAGAGCACTTGCCTAGCAAGTGTGAGGCCCTGAGCTCATACTCCAGTGTCACCCAAAAAAAAAACCAAAGGCACAAGTCCACCTCCTATATGAAATGAAGGCAGTGCCTAACTCCTAGACCTCCTGTATAAAACACATTAGATGCTGTACACAAAAACTGCTAGTACTTAGGAAGTGCTCAGGTTTCTTCTGTCTAGCCAGGATCTATCTGGTACTTGATAGGTCGTCCAATAAATGTATATTGAAGTAAAAATTTAAAAAGCAAAGCTCAAGTAAGAAAACCTTTGTTAGAGTTTGGATAACAATTTATTAAGGTCTCAAACTTCTGGTGTGGTATTGAAGTGCTTTTTAAATGCATGTGCTAAGGTCATCAATGCTTTTGAGTACATGGTTCAGAGGTCCTTAGGCCTCTTCATGGTGGGAAGAATTTATACTCTCCTTTGTTCTCTGTAGTGACTAGATTTCAAGGTACCTTTATGCATTCCAGTTAACTTTTTCCCTCACTGACACATTAGTAAACTTTCTAGTTCCCCTGTTCTTTTTCATCTGATTAGTGATGGATTGGTTTTGTAGCCATCTTTTACCACTTTCCCCTACTTATCAGTGGTTCAGGGCTCTTCAACAAAGAAAGGGCTAGAAGGCAGTCCCCAGTTTGGTAGTTTTCCAAACATACATGATTTATAAACTTTCTGGTCAGAGTATTCTGGACTATGCATATTAGTACTTGACACTTGAGTAGGCATCTAATTTGCATGTCCATAAAGAAAGATGACACTAATAGGCAATGAAGGGTGTTTTGAGCTAGAGCCTGATAAGTCAGGCCTGTGATATGCAGCCTGAAAGGTCTAAAAGGGAAGAAAGAAAAAAAAGGGGAGGGGGGGGCTTATTTTTGTAATGTATAACAGTATCACTTGAATTGATTCTATAAATTATATCAGACTTTTAAAGGTAGGTGGTAATACTGCCCTGTTCAAATAAAAAGTGGTTAGAACTATAAATCTGTCACTTACCTTTGAATCTTAAATGAAAGACCCCACATCTGTTGAAGTCATTTCAGGATACGTCATGTCAGGCTGCTGAACAATTCTTGAGAGAGACTCAAAAATATATGGAAAGAAAACTGATACTTAGAGGGGTCGGGAGCTTATTAGTTTTGGATACATTATTCTGTGCTCTCAAAATAGGTATCAATTTGGAAGCACGGCTTGGCTTAATGCTCTATTTATGTTCAATGATTGCTTGCTTTCCACATACTTTTAAATTTTTTTCTGGAAGGGAAGGGGTTAGTATGTATGTCTAGAACGTGAAAATAAAGCAACTAGCTGAACTTAAAGCTGTAATAATAGTACTTTCTAACAACCCAGCAAGAGAAACAGGAAGTGGGACAGGGTCAATGGAAACATTGCTTGGGTATTTGAAATTCAAGCAGTGAGACCTGAGAAAACTAAAGGTTCTTCCCATCCAGAACCTTAAAGCAGACCATTACTCTTTTAGAAACAAAGACCGGGTGTGGAAACTCAACATCTGTCAACCAGACAGCACAGTTCATCACATAATCACGTTATGTCTTAATAGATAGGTCCCACGGAGCTACAGCTACATCAAGTCTACCGGGTTCCACTCATCTGTCTCCCCTCCTGCTTTCTCTTGCTGGGCTTCTGTGTACTGTTTGGAGACACTGTGAAGATTTTACTCTGATGTTTATCTTTAACACACTGCTCTCTCTTTGTGCTTCAGGGAAGATGGTGAAAAAAGTCTGTCCTTGCAACCAGCTCTGTAGTAATTATCTTTTCTTTCTGTTACTTTTGGTCCTTGATTGCAAAGCCTGTTATCCATGAGTTCTTTAAACTCCGAAGCCTCATAACTCCCTGATTCCTAACTTCCATCTATCCCTGCACCCTTTTCTAATATATTCTTTAATATGCTTAATTGCTATTAACTAGAATTCCAGTTTGAGAATCCACCTCATAGTCAGTGTTCTCTCCATGTGAGCATAGCTCTGTGATAGTCATGGATTCGTGGTGCCCATGGATGTGCATGGGAAGATTAGGGATGCCTAGCTTCTACAGGAAAGAGTCCTTCAGCCAGTGTGTGCCAAGGCACTGTTCTGCCCCCACTGGGAACTCAGCAGTGATCCAGGCGTACAGAGGTTCAGGCCCTCACATCTTTCACATCAGTCATGATAGGAAGTGACTGCTAGACTGGTGGGGAGAAAAATACTAGTTAGTAGAGCTAGGTTTTTAAGACTGGGGGCTTCTCATTCAAATATAAGTAGTTCAGCACCCAGCAGGTTTATGGTTCTAAAGAGAGTTAAAAAGAAAGCTGTATGCTTGAGATCTTGGGCAATAAGTTAGTGGTCTTAACAGGTCAAGGTTACCTATAAATCTGGCAGTATTGAGTAGGAGGAAGTCAAACATGAATTTGGGGAGAGAGAAGCACTTTTAAGAAAAAGTAAAAAAAAAAAGGTGTAGAGTAGGTTAGCACATTCCTCTGAAGGCCTATTATCAAGTATTATTTACAGTTAAAAGTTTGCTTTTCCTGGGGATTAAGTTCTGGTCAGAAAAGGGTGTGTGTTTCCCACTTTAATTGAATTCCTATTGACAGAAGTCAAAATAAAAAGATTAACTAAGCCAGGCGCTGGTGGCTTATGCCTGTAATCCTAGCTACTCAGGAGGCAGAGATCAGGAGGATTGTGGTACAAAGCCAGCCTGGGCAAATAGTTCACGAGACCCTGTATTGAAATATCCTTCACAAAAATTGGGCTGGTGGAGTAGCTCAAGGTGAATGCCCTGAGTACTGAAGAAAAAAAAAAAGATAAAAAGAAAAAGATTAACTGTATTGTTTGTTGACTCCCTTATGGGCTAGTCCTCAGATTCAAAATTCAATATTGGGTAATATAGGTTGAAATTAAAGGTGGAATTAGTTTCTACAGAAGCCTAACATAAAGAGCAACTAGCATAGACTAGAGAGGTGTGACCCCCAGCATGAGCTCTCTGTGGATAAGCAGTGCTCACCCCTACTTGGCTTTTCACTGGGACTGGACAGCCCTCCTCACTTGTGGTTATTTGTTGCCTGTTTCCATTGTTTCACTCATCATCCAGCTCACTGAGCAGGCATTCTGCAGCAGGATGCCAGTCCTCATGCATGCCCACACGCTTGCTTTCTGGGTTTCCTTACTGGGGTGACTCCCTCTCATGGCCTGTGCTTCCCACTGCACCTTTGTCCCACCTTTGCTATTCAAGGAAGGCTGTTTCCTGTGCTTTGTAACACTTGGGTTTCTGTACTGTAAGAGAATTTACCCATTGTGCTGTGTGCAGTAACAATCCCCTACAGCTCCAGCAGGCACCACGACTGACACTCAGACTATAGTGGCTTGTGTCTTGCCAAATGGTCAGAAGCATGTGAACATCCTCACTCTACAGCTTCCCCTCCGAGTTAGCTGTCCTCTCGCACAGACATGCTTGTGTGTGCCGTTCCCTAGGTGGCAAGAGAGTTCAGTCAGTTGAGGCCAGCAGTGGATTATAGAGGGGCCGGCGGCAGGGTTGCTCAGGTGTGCTGCTGTGCTCTGCCTTGCTGCTTGAACCTTGAAGGCAGGAAACTGCATGCACTCACTTAGCCCCAGCATTACTTGGGCATGGTAGGGCCTTCTGGTGCACAGTTTACTGTAGTAGCTTTTATTTACTTTATAGCAAATGTGAGAGCTGTTAAGGAAGTGGGGGATGTGGGAAAAAAAGAAAATGAGACCATGACTCTTCTTTCCCTCTTCCCTAAAACTTGCCTCTTCGAATAACCTTCAGTGTGCCCTCCAGCAGAGCCGAAATCAGGCAGGACACAGACTCCTTCTTCCTTTCTCATCAAACCATAGAAATAGAATTCCTTCATTATAACCTCAAAGCTTCCTCTTCCCTCTGCACTTGTGCCCCAGCTGAATTTTCCTGCTGCTTCTACATGGGAGTGCTTGCTCTTCTGGGAAGAAGGGGTGAGAATCCTTGAACCAATTGAAACCAAGGTCCTCTTTAGGAAAATCATGTCTTCTGGAAGTGAAAGACTAGGCACATCCTTCCTTGTGCCTAACCTTGGTTCTTTGCTCATGGGAAATTGAGAGGGGCTGGAGAATGAGTTCCATTTAAATTATTGAATCCATGTGAAAAAACTTCTGAACCTACCTAAAGAATTGTGGCAGTATCCACATGGTCTGAGAACCCCATCTTCTCCATGGCCAAGCACCAGTCTGCATTCCTACTCCTACTTTAAGCTGCCCACTGTGTAAAAAATAATTTGCCTTGCATTCTGCAAATTTCCACAGCAGCTAGCCCTGTGGACCCTGTCACACTCCCTTATCAGCATAGTGCTGGGAATAAAGCGCTGGCAGACCATCCCAGTCCTCTAGAATGCCCCTCCCCCTGGTGCCTGCCGTCATCCTGAGTTGTTCAGCCTCATCTGTAGCTGTGAAGAGAGACTTTTCCTTACCCTATTCCTCCAGAATAAATAGCTAAATAAACCTTGGAATCTTCTCCTTTCTTGCATGGCTTCCCAATTTCTCTCCCCATTCTGTGGCTTGCCATTCACTGTCCTGTGACATGTCCCCTGTCCTGGAGTTACAAGCCAGGCCCTTGTTAATGCTAGTACTGTTGCTGCTTACAACTCTAGGGACCAGCAGTACAAACACCGTTGGAGGAACAGTGAGTAGCCAAGCTGCCCAGGCTCAGCCTCCTGCCATCACGTCCAGCAGGAAGGGAACATTCACAGATGACCTACATAAGCTGGTAGACAACTGGGCACGAGATGCCATGAATCTTTCAGGCAGGAGAGGAAGCAAAGGACACATGAATTATGAGGTAAGCCTTCCGTTTTTGCCATTTTGCTAGTCAAGTATCACTTAACACACAAGTGAATCAGAGGTGATACAGGCTACCTAGGCAGGCTCACCATTTTATGCCATGGCCTTCTTTAGTAGCTCATGAATTTTAACACTTTTAGGAAAACAAGACAAATCACTGTGGTGCCTTTTGTTCCCTGAATCCCTAGCTCCTTATTGGCTAGCTTAATTTTCTCTTTTCCCTCTCAGTTTTCTCTTTTCCGTCAACATCCCGAACCACACTTGTGTGTACATGTATAACATGACACCCTCTTCCAGTCAAAGTCATTTTCACCTCACCTTGGAAAGTGTAGAGCCAGTCAGTATTATGGGAGGCTTTGTTGTGTTTTGCTATAGTATTTAAAACAGTCAGTTCTAGACTGGTCTCATAGTGCCACCCATTTTACACCCGTGGGAGTTACGTCCCCACTAAGCTCTTAACTCTCCTCTTGTTTTTAGGGCCCTGGAATGGCAAGAAAGTTCTCGGCTCCTGGGCAGCTGTGCATCTCCATGACCTCAAACCTGGGTGGCTCTGCCCCCATCTCTGCAGCATCTGCTACCTCTCTAGGTCACTTCACCAAGTCCATGTGCCCCCCACAGCAGTACAGTTTTCCAGCTGCCCCATTTGGCGCTCAGTGGAGTGGGACGGGTGGCCCAGCACCGCAGCCACTTGGCCAGTTCCAACCTGTAGGAACTGCGTCCTTGCAGAATTTCAACATCAGCAATTTGCAGAAATCCATCAGCAACCCCCCAGGTTCCAATCTGCGGACCACTTAGTCATACCTGGAGGCATTAAGTGAGCAGAGTTGGGGGTGGGAGATGGAATACTGAGGGGCGGGGAGGGGGTGGGGAAAGTAGCCTGTATACTAACTTCTAGTGCTGCATTTAACTGGCTATTTCTTGCCAGAAGAGAAGGTTTTTAATAGTGTTTTGAGCCCTCAGAATGGAGAACGTTTCTTGCCCTCCATTTATTGGAGGGGACAAGAGGGAAAAAGCAACTTTTTTGTGGAGGGGCTGCTTGAGACTGTGCTTTCCTGTTTCTCTGTACCCACCCGTGAGGCCTAGGGCTAGAAGAAAACCTTGCTAGTAGGAAGCCACGCAAGCTCAGTGGAAAGCCAGACCTCATCTGTGCCTGCAATGGGTGGAGCTCTTAATTGTGGTTCATGCCCCAGATCCCTTACTCCCTCCAGAGTTCAGACCATAAGACAAAAAACATGGGGTTTTCTCCTCTGTTCCCATCCCCACTTTTTTTTCTTCTTTTTTTTAAAACCCAGTGGAAAATACCAGGGGAGTGGGGTTGCAACCCTTTCTTACGATAGGTCATTAGTGCTTTAAGCAAAAGAACTAGCAGCTTTGACTGCACCATTAGCAATTAGGACAATGACGTTCCCTGCGGACATATAACCTTGCCATCAGTTTTGATGTGGAAACACTGTGATATATAAGTGTTGTTGGACAACAGTAGTTTAAGAGTAAAATACGAAAGGTTTAAAAGATTCACACACAAAAGCTAGCTCTGTCCTTACTGAGACACTTTAACTTTTTCCTTTGTATTTCCATTGTATTAGATAAATAAATGTGAATGTAAAATTGTATAAATTACTGTACTTGAATACTTCTGTTCTCCCAGTATTGCTTGCTGGATATTTTAGTGCCTTGGACTTACATTGCTTCTGCCGTTAGCATTGACTTACCAGACCCCAGATCAGCAAAGGGCATGTGGAAAGAAATCTAGGTCTGTGTGACCCCAACAGTGGATATGCCAAAGGGAAATTGAGTGTTTTTTAAGTCATTCAACAATTTTGTCTAGAGCAGGTGTAAGATGAGTAAGGTGAGAAGTTAAGTTGACATCAGTGGTTGAAAGCAGAAAGTTCTGTTTCAGGAATAGTGAGGAAGGGTATTATAACAAAATTGGGCAATTTAAAAGATTAAAGGAGGTATGAGCTGTGTGAAAGAGACTGAAGATGGGAACAATCTTGTTTTGAAGATGCCTGGCCAGTGACTGTCATAGATCTTACTTATTTGAGCTAGGCTCAACAGATGAGACCCAGGAGAAATGAAGTATAAAGAGAAAGGAAGTAGGAGCTCGTTTTTAAGTTGGGACATGTGATAGAGAAGTCACAGATGGAGAAAGTTGCTCTAAGAAACCCATTTGGGTTGCCTGCACATGTACCGTGCTTTCTCAGCTTGGGGTTCTATATTGTGGAAAGTGAACCCACTTCTTGACTTAATAAGCATTGTAGGAAAAATGCTCATTCCTACCTGTTTCCTCTGATGTCCAGATGGTTGCACAATCGTAACCTATTGTGCATTGTATTTCTACATTTACAACTAATCCCTCATTTTCATTCTCATATTCCCCTTAACTGCAACCAACCAGTATTATTTAGTGCTATGCCTAGTTGTAATGGGCAGTTCTCTTACTTTCAGAGCTTTCTGGAGATACTGGCCTAATCGGCTGTGTTTAGGGTGTCACTATTCTCAAAAGATAAGGAAAGAGGCAAGGACTTAATTTCTTAGGGGGCTTCTTTTCTTTGACTTAGTTAGGAAATTGATATATTTCAACCTTTTACCCACCTCAAAGGCACATCCCAGGAGCCACCACGATAGGAAGAGCATGGTTACCTGAATCCTGTCTCTTCCTCTGTGGGCCCCCAAGGGTGCAAATCAGAGCTGAAATTTTTGGGGAGGTAGAAATGAAAAGAGCAAGTGTTGACTCATTTATCCTCTGTTTATAATTCTTGGGGAGAGGGTAAGAGAAAGGCTAGAACCAAGAAAGTGCCGAGTGAGAAACACATAAGGTAGATGGAACAATACTTCGTTCCAGAGGAAGTGGGAGCCAAACGCAGCACGTTGTTTTGTTACTTTGATTTAGTCACTTTGAGGTCTTTTCACCCACAGAGTAAGAACTGGTTTTATTTACTGTTGATTCCCCTCCTGTGGATGGAATAACTGAAGCCTAGAGGAGCGAGCTAGTGCTACTGAGCTATTTAAATTATTTTGTGTTAATAGTACACTGAATATCTTTTTCCACATTAAAAAGAACTTTCTGAATTTATAAATGTTTTCCTTACATTATTTAACAATGTATGCTGTTTAAAGAAAAGAAACCCACAAATGGAATCCAAACCTTGGGGATTTTTCAGCGCCGTTAACTGTACATTTTGCACTAACTCTGGGTGTTGCGCTGCTTGTAAGATTGCGCTCTGTGCTTCAGTTTGTTACCTTTGTAGACTTATTTAATGAAACCATTCGAATAAACCAAACTTGCTTTTGTTGAGCTGTGGGGTTTCATTTCCAGCAAATGCCTCATTCATGTTCTCTTTGGCCGTGTTTTGAGCCGTGTGCAACTTGTAACACTATTCCCGGTTTCCAGAAACCTTTGTAGCAGCAGTTTTCCTATGAACTAAGATTACGCTAACAAGGAAACTGATACCTTTTCTGAGGAAAATAATAAGGATATTGAAATCAAAAGAGGAATACGGGACCAAGTCCATGCAACAACAGGTGAGGCAAAAGTTGTTAGAAGTCAGGGAAGTCTGGGCAAGCTGCTACCTCACAAGGGAACAGAAGGGGCCAGCTCCTGTCAGCACTGAGTTGCTTGCTTGTGATCCAGAAAATAAGCCATTGCTTTGAGATAAGGGACAATCTGAGTCTGCATCTCAGAAAGTAAAACTGCAAACTCACTGGGGAAAAAAAACTGATGAAACATCTAAATATTATTAAAAAGCCGATCTGTTAAAAGGAATTACAGCTTACATCTGAAATCAAAACAGCCACTGTGTTCTCTATTCTGCTAAAAAGCAGGCGGCTTCCTCAAAGGTGCCTTTCCTTGGTCTTGGGTCATTATTTCCTTGCTTTAGGGAAAAATGCTGTAGGATTGTGATGTCATAAATCCATGAAAGAGTACATAGTAGTTCGCCTCTAGTTTTGCTTTCCAGGGTTTCAGTCAGAAATAGCTCGTAAGTTTTCGACTGCATGTTGTTCTCGAGGACGATGAAGTGGTAGGCGCCCCCACCGGCCATGAGCGGTACCTTTGCCCAGCAGGTCCATGCTGCGTGCACCACGTGCAGAGGTGACTTCGGTAGCTTTCTTCGTTCCAGCTCACCCCCCCACCCCCCCCCATACTGCACAGCTTGAGTCCAAGAAACCCAATCTTACTAATGGCCCCCAAAGCTCACAAAAAAGAAGTGATGCTGGCAAGCACCTCCTTCAGGAAGGAAGACTGCAGTTGCTAAGATTGACAGTAACTCATCTACTGGGGAAACTGCAGAAGGAGAAGTTCACGGTGGTTTTGCTGTTGCACACAAACTAAAGTTACGGCTGCAGGACCTGGTAAGTACTTAACGTGCAAAAGGCTTTAAATTGCAAGACTCGGTACTAGCCATGGTCCCAGGCATCCGCTACAAGTCTGGAACACATCACAGGAGAACGGGGAGACCACTAAATGAGATGAAGACTCACCCGAGTTGATGCCCGGGAGAAGCACCGTCATAACCTCATTCTCGGATCCACAGCGCTTACATGCAAGACTTCAGAGATGACCTAACTATTCACTGCAGACAGGACTGACGGTGCTTGACGGTGGGCAGCCACTGCCAGTTCCTAAAATGTCTCTTTATTAATAAGCGCAATAGCTGATGAGTAGATAGTAAAAACACCTCAAAAGACAAAGGTATTTCATCTGCCCCACCTCCACCCCACAAAGTGCATGGCATCCTCTGCAGTGGGCTCCAACAGTCAAGTCTTCTGATGAGATTCGGGGTGAATCGAGGCAAAGCCTTGGAAATAAAGTTCATTCCCCAGGAATTATAAACAATTCCATGACCAAAAGGCACTTTTCCAAAGTCTCTGTGACAGTCCTCTGTCCTGAGCCTCAGGACGGATCCCACTTCCGTTTCTTCATATCTTGATCCTTACTGTGAGAGGCACAGTGTCCTGCAGAGTACAAAATGGCTTAGACACAACAGTCATGACTTGTCCTAGTCAACCCTAATTCAGACCAAGAGCCTAAAAATGAAAATTACTGTTCAGGGGGCAGCTCCCTTGGTAACCCTATGCCAAGTGGCCTCACACTCGTGACGGACCTACTATTAGGAAAGTTTGTGGATCTTTTTGTTTTTGAAGTTGTGGGGTTTGAACTCAGGCCTGCCCTTGCCAGGCAGCTGCTCAACCACCTGGCCCATGCCTCCAGCCCTTCCTCCTAGTGGGAAGAGCTAAGCACACTGCTATCTAGGGCTAAAGGTCAGGAGCCCTCAGGACCGCCTGGCATCCACCCCATTGTCTCCTACTCGGGTGCACTGCTATGTAGGAATGATTCTATCCAACTTCCTAAAATGAAATGCCATCCTTCCTTTAAAGTTCACAGAATGAAACCTGGGATCTCCCTTTAATTTTTGTTCTATACAGCTCTCTGCTACCTGTTAGGGGCTGGTTAGTACTGTAGGTTTGGAGATGCCAAGGTTCAGGTTTTTCTTGTGGCTTCTGGTGGCAAAGGCTGTGTGGGAGCCCGTCTTGGGCCACCATCTGGTTCTTGGCTGTGGTGGCAGAGGTCTGGGGAGGTTCTGGTACAGCCAAGGGCTTGACAATGTCCTCTAAATCCGGAGTCAGATCCCACATTTCAAGGTTGTCTTCAAAGTTCCCTACAGACATCACAGAAAGGCACAGACAGCATCAGCAGTATCACCAGAAAGCGGCCAGAAGCACCTCCATTTTTCAAGTGCCCTGGGATAGACTGCAATTTCCTTCTACCCCTAAAAGTATACCGACACTTCCCTTTGGTTAATGAGAATGTGTGTTATCAGAGCCCCCATCGGTCAACTGGGAGCCTCATTTTTTTTTAAAACTTCACGGGGCTAGGAAGCCGATGGGGATTTTTTATGCCTCTTTTAAAATGGGTTCTGTGACTGCCACGCATACAGAGCACAAGCATTTCCAAGGTATTTACATGAAGTCATTTACCTGGCAGGGCAGCCTTCTCCCTGGGGGGCTCTGAGACAGCGGTTGTGGAGGTGCTGTGTGTCAGAGGAGGGTCCGGAAGTGCTGCTGTGACACACGAGTGAGAAAGAACAAATCATGACTCAGAACCGGCAGATAAAGAAGTCACCTCCAGTGCAAAGCTCCCCAGGGAGGCCGGGCTCTACCAGGGAAGGAGCCAAGATTGCGAGTCCCAGTCCCAACCCCAGGTCTCCAGCCTGCCTGCCTTCCTCTCGCCAAGGCGGGGGAGGCGAGCTGGTTTCCTCTTTAATAGCAAAAGTAGAAGGATTATCAGAAGCCATTTTGCCCAGTGGCTTCAAGCATGGTTCTGGGATCGGTAAGGGTGTGAAGCCCCGTGGCCACCTCCCCTCCCCAGGGCAGGAGGTCAGAAGCCACAGGTCTGTGACAAACACTAATCAGGATGTGCACAGGATAGTGAGTCGCTCTGGTTTCTTTTCTCTTTTCACATTAATTTCACTCTGTCAGTGTTGATGGGGACAGTAGTGAAGCAAACAAAAACCTGAGCAGAAGCTGCACTGGTGTGGGACACACCCCTGCTCTGTTTCTCCTCTGGGCAGGCAGCCTCACTCCTCCCCAAACATCTGCCGCATCCCAAGTGTGGGTAAAGAACCTCCTGCCGTGTTTGGACCCACTGTGCTATCTCAGAAAGGAGGCAGAGAAGCCAAAGTGTGTAAGAGAAAAACAAAGTTTGTTACCCTCGAATTTCAAGTTCCACATTATATTCAGGCCCATTTACTCCCTAAAAAAGATCCTCAGCTTCAAAACTGGGAAGGTGTCTGGCCTATTTCACCACCTAATTTCGTGGACTGGGGAAATGAGTTGAAGCCCTAGTGAGTTCTGGCCTGGAGTAAGCCACCCAGTCCCCTTTGGTGTCCCCTCTAGAGGGCACGTCCCTCCTGAGCCCTCACACTTGCTGTCCTCGGCTGCAGCAGGCGTCTGCACGTGCGTCCGTCTCTCCATCTGCTGGCGGAACTGCTGCTGCAGCTGCTTCTGCCGGAGCTTCCTCTGGTGAGCGGCGTCATGTTCCGTGGTGGCGGCTGGGCTGCTGGTCGCAGGGTGAAAAGTTAGCCTGCTAACCACGCCAGATACAGCCGAGGAAGCACACAAAGCAACCTTCTGCATCCCCAGGCAGAGATGAGCCACGTGAGGCAGGACAGGAGAGGAAAGGGAGGGGCCCAGGCCATACCGGCAGCCGTTGTCTCTGTCCCCTTGTAGCAAGATGTGGGGGTCATCTGTGTGGCTTGCTTTGCAAGGGAAGGTCATCTCCTGTGGTTTTGAGGGTCCCAGAGCTGCATTCAGGCGGCAGCTGTTGTATCTTGCCTGTTCCACGGATGGTTCAAAATCTTGTCTCTTTGCTTTAGTTAAATCACTTCAAGAGGCAACTGACAAGGGAAGACCGTGGAGAGAAGCCTTCTCCAGCTGCTATTCCAAAGCCCTCCGCCCTCTCCCCTGCCTGGCAGACTCAGCCTCCTGGACAAGGTACTTGGCAGTCCAAATCCACCTCTGCTCCTGGATGTGACAAGCTGGGGAGGAGCCACAACTTCCAAGTCACTTTGTTTCTTTGTTCTGAAACCAGATCTCACTGTGTTACCCAGGCTGATCTCCAATTCCTGGGCTCAAACAATCCTCCTGCCTCAGCCTCCCAAGTAGCCGGGACTACAGATGTATGCACCATATGTCTGGCTAAGTATACTTCAAATAACAGGCAGAGGAAATTCCAGAAAGCAATGACTTAAGCTGTCAGGCAAAGCTACAGAGAACCTCCCGGTGGGTGGCCATCCCTGCGTCTCACCAAAAATGGGAGCAATGACTGTTACATGTGTGTGGCAAAAGCTTCACTTCCTGCTTGTGAGTGTTATGGAACTTATCTCTAGATTCATAAAATTAATGCTGATGAATTACTGTCTGAATGTGGGAGATTGGAGTGACTATTTTGATAACAATATCCTAAAAATGAAAGTTACAGTTTGGATTTCTTCTCTCCATCAACATATACTTGAATAGGATAAAAAGAAACAAGCTTTGAAAAAAAAATGGAAGGACTGGCAACAGCAAGTACTGCAGAGGGCTTGCAGTAATCACAACTCATACAGCGACGTGGGGGCGTATGGACGGTGCCATCCCCACGAGATTGAGAATCACTAAGACTAAGCACAGATCTTGCTTCTGACCCAGTACGTCCTAAGAAAAATGAGTGTGCAGGGTTCCAACAGACATGTACAAGAGGTAAACAGCAGCTCTATTCAAAACAGTCAAAGCTACCAAAAAAAAAAAAAATGTAGATATACCTCAAAGACATAATGGAAAAAAATGATTACATACTCTTGCAATACAAAATTATAGAACAATACAGGTGTGGCCTGCACTGCAAATCTCACAAGCATGCTGAATCAAAGCCAGACTGCATGATTCCAGGAAGAATCAAAGGCTACTGTCAAAGATGATTTTCCTTAGGGGGTTGGGAGTACATAGACTTCAGCAGCAGAGCACTTGCCTAGTATGTGCAAGGGCCTGGTTTAATCCCTGGTGCCACAAAAAAAAAAAAAAAGTGGTTTTCCTTCTGGGTGTGGTGGCTCACATCTATAATTCCAGCTACTCTAGAGGCAGAGATCAGAAGGACTGCAGTTCAAGGCTAGCCTGCACCAAAAATTCTCTCCAGAGTCCATCTCAGCCAATAAAAGCAGGGCATGGTGATGCATGCATGTCATCCCAGCAAGAAGGAAAGCATAAATAGGGTCACAGTCCTGACCAGCCAGGCAGAAATGTGAGGCTCTATTAAAACAAAAAAATACAGCAAAAAGGGATGAGCATGTGCCTTCAGTGGAAGAGCGCCTCGCAAGCACAAGGCCTTGCTCAAAACCCCAGAGCCACCAAGGCTGCAGCGGTAGTTGGTTTTGCATATGGCTCGGATTACAATACAAAATCCAGGGCATCTGGGCACCTGTGGCTCACGCCTGTAATCCTAACTACTTGGGAGGCTGAGACCAGGAGGATCATGGTTCAAGTCCAGCCTAGGCAAAAAGTTTGTAAAACCTCCATCTCCAAAAATAACCAGAGCAAAACGGACTGGCAGTGTGGCTCAAGTAGTAGTGTGCCTGCTTTGCAAGTATGAAGCCATGAGTTCAAACCACAGCCCCACCAAACAAAAGAAAAAGAAAAAAAAATTGCCCGATCAAAAAAACAAAACTTCAAAAATTTTAAAAACTAAAGAACCACATCTCAGACCTATGAGCTACCTAACAGTCTAAAATAACTATCTTATAGGTGCCTGATCAGCCAAAAAAGTACACAGACATTATCTGTTGGAAATCAAATGCATGAACAAACCAAGAGGACTAACAGAGAAACTATAAAATGAAACAAATTCTCAATGTGAAAAACACACTAACTGAACTGAAGAAAATCACTACAGGGGCTCAACAGCAGACTCAACCAGCTAGAAGAAAGAAACATCAAGGCACAGAAGAAAAAAGAATGAAGAAAAGTGAAGAAGCCTAGAAACTTACGAAATACTATTAAGCAAACTGATAATGTATTCTGGGAGTTCTGCAAGGAGAAAGGAAAGGAGCAGAGAGCTTATCTTTACAAATAATGGGGCTGGGTATGTAGTTCAGTGGTTTAGCGTTTGCCTGGTATGCACAAGGCCCTGGGTTCAATCCTCAGTACGAGGAAGAGGAAAGGAAGGCAGAGGTGTGTTATCCGCTGGTATAGTCCCAGCTACTCAGGTGGAGGTGGGAGGGTCACATTCTAAGGCCGGCCCTGGGCAAAAGCAACAGATGCTATCTGAAAAGTAAACTAAAGCCAAAAGGACTAGGGGCGTGGTTCAAGTGGTAGAGCACTTGCCTCATGCACATGGCACTGAGTTAAATCCCAGTAATACTACCAAAACAAAAACCAGCCACCACTGGCTCATGCCTGTAATCCTAGCCACTAGGGAAGCTGAGATTGGGAGGATTGTGGTTCCAGGCCAACCCAGACAAAAAAGCTCCTAAGAACCCCTTCTCAACAGAAAAAGCTGGTGGTATACACCTGTCATCCCCACTATGGCAGGAAACATAAAATAGTACTGCAGTCTAGCCCGGGCAAAAAAGGAGACCCTATCTCAAAAGTAACCATGGCAAAAAGAACTGGGGCATAGCTCAAGTGGTAGCTCTCCTACCTAGCAAGCACAACACCGTGAGTTTAAACCCCGGTCCCACCGGGTTGTGGGGGGGGGCGGGGGAAGAATATTAGCCTTAAAAAGAAAGAAAATTCTGGCACTCATTACCACACGGATGAGTTAATGCTAAATGAGAAAAGCCAGCCACCAAAAGACAAAAGCTGCATGATTCTGTTCACATTTTGTACCTAGAGCAGCCAAACTCACAGGTTCCCAGGGACTCGGGAGGCAGGAAGGGTTGTTTCATGGCAAGTTTGTTTTTCAAGATAAGAAAGCCGTGGGATCAGTTTCACTATGATGCAGACAACTTTACCCAACTATATACTAAAAATGTTAAGATCCAAAGTTTATGTGGTTTTTGTTTTTAACCACAATTAAAAAAAAAGATAAACAATAGGCTAATATCCTTCATCCAGATACAAAAACACCTAACAAAATATTAGTAAAATGAACCCAGTAATGTTTAAAACTAATCTTGCAAATAGATACGGAATTTTGACACCCAGCTCCGCTGAAGTGTTGCCCTGGTGACAGCATCGTGGCTCTCGAAGAGGCCACAAGAAAGAAGCAACTCCTGTAGGCAGGAGGAGCTCTAGAAGCCAACTCATCCCGGTCACATGCACTCAGGGTGCCTCAACTGCAGACGCTCAGGTCACTTGGTACTGATAACAAGAACCAATGGAGGTCTGTACCTCAGACACCGCAGCTAAGAGAAAGAAAGGAAGCTGAACTGCCTTCTGAGGGCCCCAAGCGTGTCTGGGAAGTGAGCGGCTACAGAAGGCTCCGGGCTTGCTGTCAGGGTTCCCTGAAAATCTGAAGTAAACATCCAGCCCCTGTAACTAGCTGAGTCCTCACTTCTCCCTCCATCCCCCAAATACTCATGACATAAGAGAACGCGCTGTGTTACCCCATGTCCCGTCCCATTCACCCACCTGGCGTGGAAACTTATTTAGTGACCTCAGATAGTCTTTGTCCAGAATGCAATTTCCAAGTGCATTCCCAAAACTCCTAAGAAGAAGAAGAAAAAAAGGTTGAGAATTGTAACACTCGAACCCCAGAGGACAGAGTTACAATTCTGTACTAGTGCCATCTCAAGGGCTGCAACCATGCATTTCATAAATTATAACTGAGCATTTGCCACAGCCCTGCCTGCACTAGGCTCAGAGGACAGAGCAGTGACCACAGCTCAAGTCTCCCGAGGAGAACGTGAGCCCCAAGTGACCACAAAGCCATTCACAAAGCCCCTGTGTTAAGGTTTGGACCCTACAATGGTGGTACCGGGAGTGGGAAGCTCTAAGTGACGAGGCATGCCCTCATGGGGACTTGTGGGGCACTGTTCTCTTCCTCTTTCACGTCATCCCGTGATGTGCTCCCTCGCCACAGGACCAAGTGATCCTGGACTCAAACCTCTAAAACTGACAGCCAAAGTAAACCTTTGTTCTCCATTACTGTAGTAACTGAAAGCTAGCACAGTGCTCACATGGAAAGGTCTTGGGATAGGGAAAGGGAACACAAAACAGCGCATACAGTTTTCTGCCGTTAGTCCTCAGATGGAAGACGCCAGCATCACACTGGGACCAGGACAGGGTAGGAGTGGCTTGCTTGCCTTTCGTGTTACTTAGATTTTTGACCCGCCACTAGATCCTCTGGATAAACCAGCTCTGAAATGAGGTACAAGGAGGCTGGCCCTCTGCTTACCTGAGGGCTCGCTTCAGCCCATCTGTCACTGCCTCCTTCCTGGCCTTCTCCAAGGACAAGGCCTTTGACTTGAGGCCCTCACTGACACCATAGCCTACATCTTCATGGTAGGAGCCGTCCTGGGCAGGGGCAGGGGAGAACGGAATGAGAGCTCCAACACGCAGAGCTATGGTCCTGTCCTGGCTGCCTAGCTCTCCCTCCCGAGCAGCAGTGTTCAAACTAGGCACATGGACCCACGGGCCTTAGTGAAGGGGCCACTTCTCTTAGTGAAGAGTTGTGAGACATCCGTTTCCAGAACAGCTTTCTAGACCAGGTCTGCATGGAAATGGGCCTGTGGCCAAAATATCAAAACATCCCTTTCCAATGCCGTTACATAGAGAACAGACAGTGCCAGGCACGGTAGCTCATGCCTGTAATCCTAGCTATCCGGGAGGATCTCCATTCAAGACCAACCCAGGCAAAAAGTTCTCAAGAACCCCATCTCAACCAAGACAGCTGGGCATGATGGGGTGCATCTGTCATCCCAGCTATGCAGGAAGCATAAAGAGATGGACCGTGGTCCAGACCGGCCCAGGCAAGACCATATTTGAAAAATAACTAAAGCAAAAAGGGCTTAGGGTATGGCTCAAGTGGCAGAGCGCCTGTCTCACAACAGTGAGGCCCTGAGTTCAAACCCCTCAGTACAGCAAAAAAAAAAAAGAAAAAAGAAGTAATAGTCAAGAGCCAGGGAGAGCCCAGTGGTAGGAGTGCTTACCATAGGTAAGGCCCTTGGTTCAATCCCCAGAACCACGAAAAGAAAAAGGAAGTATTCAACTATGGATATAGTGACTCGGGGACGCAGGGGTAGAGCACTTGCCTGGCATACATGAGGCCCTGGGTTTAATCCCCAGCACCACCAAAAAAAAAGAGATATGCATTCTCCCTGAAATTTTATTTTATTAACATTTTCATGTATTTATGTCTCTTCAGTATAAACACAATTGCACTAATAATAATTGTAATGACAATTCAATCCAGAAGAAATCTCTAATATTTAAAGCCTAAAGGTCGCTAGAATCCATGTGCACTCGTGTGCTCAGACACATATAGATGGAGTTGCATAAGTTTATCAGCAAAATTTTCAACCATAAATATATATTAGAATAAAATCCAGTGGGGAAATACAAGTTCTCATAAAGAAGGAACAATGCAAAATGTTCTGACGACTAAAATCTTAGCCAGGCATGGCGGCACAAGCCTGTATCCCTACACAGGTATGAATTTTAAAAAATGCAATTTTAAAGCACAGCTTGTCCACATGTGTTTTCAAATCGATGGTGTCACTGTACCCTACAGAGCTTAGACCACTATAGAGTGCACCAGATTTATTTTAAAGTGTCAAATTTTACAATATGCCAAAAATACACTCTTTGCAACTCTTTAGATATGGTGAAAATATATCAACTTAAAATGTACAAAGGGACACCATCATCTTTAGACCCTGGCTGAGATTCAAGGCTCGGCCTTCTCTCCTGCGTGGCTGTGCCATGGTCCACAGACTTCTCCGCGCCCCCCCACTCTCTGAACCCCGCCTGTCCTCCCAGCCAGCAGGGGGCTCCATCACCCTCACCTTCAACTGCACCCTCACAAACGCACAGACTCCCACGTAGAACTTGCCGTTGTTGAGGTCAACAAAATCTAGCACGGGAAAGAGAACAGTGAAGAGCATGTTAGCCCTGTGTGCCCTCACTCCTGCTGTCAGCCACATCTGCCCATCTTACGTCCACGCCCAGAGGTGAAAGGTGCCCAAGTAACAGCAGCAGAGTGGTCGGCAGCGCCAAGAGGCACTCACCCACATTCTGCTGTGTGATGGAGTGGGCCCAGCCGTTGTACCCAAACATCTCATTGGCCAGGCTAATCACCCTGTGACCCTCAATGTAACACACCTAGAAAACAAAAAATTTTAAGAATAAGCAAAGTTAAATTTTCCTTGGCATATTTAAATGTGAATAAAAATTCACTTAATTTATTCCTTATGTGGTGGGTTTTTTCTTTTTCTTTTTTTTTGGCAAAACAGTCCAGGGAAATTCTCAATGAATGTATTTCAAAGATGTAGACAAAATCAGCCGGAATTAATGATCTGTCTGGCGGGGGGAGAGACAAGCCTCACAGGGGAACACATCCACTCACTTAATAGTTGTCGAGACCCACAGTTTCAGATCTCAGGTGGACATATTTTAAGGAAGACCAAAACATCCACACGTGTTTAAAACTGGAGAGTGGACGAGGAGCTCAGTGGTAGAGCAAATGCTTACCATGCAGAGACCACGGGCTCCATCCCCAGCACCAAAAAACCCAAGGGAAACAAAGGGCAACGCAAACATTTTTGAAGGTCGGCGTCAAATCCTAACACGGCAGTTACACAAATCTCGGGACAATGTCTGGGCCACCTCAGATGACAATGAAGACTGGAGTCCACCTCCCCAGACACAATACCCAGTAACAGTGGACCCGACAGGAAGCTGCCAAGACATTCTGAGGAGTCTCCAGACAGTGCCCAATCTCAGACGGGGTCACTCTCCTACCTTCTGGCCTCCTCCAGCCATGCGGCTACTTATGTATTCCGGGCCCAGCCTCTGCCTCAGAGCACACTGGATGGCCTGGTACTCTTCTGCTGTGTATTGGCTCTACAATCCAGAAGGGAAAAACAAATTGATGTTGCCACCATTCCTTACATCAGTGAGCCAGCAACTGTTTGGTCTCAGTGCTTCTCACCACTCTTAAATAGTGAGCAGGAACAGAGTACTGGCCTAGCATGCACAAGGCTGGGTCCCAGCGTGCTACCTCATACAGGTGTGTATTTTACGTACTAATCAAAAATGCTTAACAAGTATTGAGGACAACAGAGCTTTTGTTTACGCAGGTTGCATCCACCAACATTAAGAAGTGACAATGAGGGGCAGGGGGGAGAAATGAACCAAGCCTTGTATGCACATATGAATAATAAAAGAAAAATGAAAATAAATAAATAAATAAATAATAAAAAAAAGTATAGAGAAAATCATGAAAGAAAAAAAAAAAAAAGTGACAATGAGAAGCTTTTAAAATACATTGCGCTTAGCCATCCGAGCAGTGACACCATCATACACGTGACGGGCAGCTCTGGAAACACCACTCACTTGTGACAGAATGAGCGAGTATACAAAGGCAGGCAGCAGCTAGTGACCTGTGGGCTCTGTGCTTAGGAACCCACACTTGGAGGACCACCAAATTAGCAGGGGCACCATCCGTATCCAGCTTTCTCCAGCTAAGTCAGGCTTTTTGTTTTGTGTTGCTGGGGAAGAACCCAGAGCCTCGTGAATGGCAGGGAAGCGCTCTGCTGGTGAGCTGCATCCCCAGCCCTCTCAAGCTAAATTAGGAACATGAACTTCCTGCCTCAGAGTCTGAATGTAATGTTACATAGGCAAGGGAGCAGGAGAGGGAGAATGGGATGGAAGCCTTGCCTGTTTGTCCTTTCTAGGGTTTTACACCTTCTCCGATTCAACAATTTCTCCTTCTACGCACACACAAACACACTAGTTCTGTTTCAGTTTTGTGCCCTTGCCCTATGTAAATGAAATACTCTGTAACAACTCTATGATCAAAAAAAAAAAATAGTTTGGGTGGACAAAGCAAGAATCTTCTTTCTATGCACAGAGTATTTACAAAGACTGTAGTCCAGTAATTCTGAATGTCTCCCGGAAAGAGGACACACATACAGCAGCGATGGGGAAATCAGGAGACTCCACACACAGTGTTTCGCTTTGAACTTTCTATCATACAAAGAAACAGGTTTACATATAAGCGTAATTCCCTGTACTCTTCATCTTTAGATGCAAACGTTCCAAAACGTACTCAGGTAATCAAGGACCCTGAAACGGTGGATTTATGAAGGCACACGTGTGACGGCCTTCTACCACCAGTTACCTGTCCAAAGCATAACACAGACTTGCCACCAGCAGAAGGATGACTGTCACACCCTCCACGAATTGCTTCCTCCACTGCAGACATGTTGATCCTGCTTGGCCTCTATGAAAATAAAAGGAGAGGAAAAGAAGACGTAAAAGAATGCCGAAGGTAAGAGGTGAGAGCCTCTACAACACATCAGACAAAACAGCCCCAGGCAGCAGCTAGCAGATACTTTCTGGAGCAGAGGCCTCTGATCCAAAAGGACAGAGTTCTTCACTGCTTAGCCATGGTCTGCAGAGCCACCAGAAACTCCATGGGGTGGGGAGGTGGGGGAATGACCCAAACATTGTATGCACATATGAATTAAAAAAAAAAAAAGAGTAAAAAAAAGAAAGTCCATGGGGCTGCTCCACCATTCGGTGAGCACTTTGCTATTGCGGTGGTGTTACTAAGGTGTCTTTTACAAGGAGAATGCATTACGTTTGTGACTGAAAAAAATCAGTGTTAAACAAATGCTGAGGGAAAGCAAGCAGTCCATTTACTACATGGAAGGGTGACTGTATTTGGTGATGGATCTGATTGTGGTAATCACTTCACGATGTACGTGTATATCAGTGAGCATACCATAGCGCAGTGGTAACAAATGCCAACGGCCCCAGCCACTCAGGAGGCTGGGCAGGAGGATCATGTGAGCCCAGGAAGCCAGCCTGGCAATGAAGCAAGACCCCTCTCAGAAAAACAAAACAAGGGGGCTGGCAGAGTGGTTCAAGTGATAGAGCACCTACCTTACAAGCATGAGGCCCTGAGTACAAATCCCAGTATTGCCAAAAAAAATCATATCATATACTTTATATATAATTTTCATTTGTCAATCATACTTAAAGCTGGGGGGTTAAGTGACTGTGTTTTAATAGAAGGAGGTGGGAAAGGAGAAGGAGAAGGAATTTACAACTACCTGGGATATGGACAATATGACTCTGGTCTCTTTGGGGTCAAAAAGGAAATACATGCCACAATAACTGAACTGTTTTCCAACTGCTTCCTCTAGCTGCAGGAAGAAGACTGATAGAAAAGAAACAAGCCAGGCATGGTGTGCACACCTACGGCCCTAGCTATTTGGGAAACTGAGGCAGGAGGACAGCTTGAGGCTAGAAGTTAAGAGACCAGCCTGGGCAACATAGCGAGACCGCCATTTCAAAAAGGAAGAAAAGAAAAAATTAAAGAGCAAAGAAAGGCAATACAGAACACCCCTAAAATTCAGGAAGAAAAGAAATAGCATTAAACCTGGTATACACACTTGTAATCCCAGCACTTGGGAGTCAGAGGCAGCAGGATCAAGAATTCAAACCCAGCTGCTATATAGTAAGTGTGAGGGCAGCCTAGGCTATATAGCAAGAAAAAGAAAAGAAAAGAAAAAAAAAAACAAAAAACAGAAAGGTGCTGGTGGAACACCGACCGCAGCTTCAAACCCCAGTATAGCTGGTCACTGGTGGCTCACGCCTGTAATCCTAGCTACTCAGGAGGCAGAGATCAGGAGGATCACAGTTTGAAGCCAGCCAGGGCAAATAGTTCTGTGAGAGCCTATCTCAGAAATAACTAAAAAGGGCTGGCGGAGTGGCTCAAGTGGTAGAGAGCCTGTCTAGCAAGCGAGAGGCCCTGAGTTCAAATCCCAGTACCACAAAAACAAATAAATAAAATAAATTATTTTATAAAGTAGAGGTCAGCAAACTTTTTCTGTCATGGGTTAAATGGTAAATATTTCAGGTTTTTCAGGCAATGCAGTCTCTCTTCAATTACTCAACTGTTACTTTAGCTTGAAAGCAGCCAGACACTTCGTAAATGAGTGGGCATGGCTGCATCCCAATAAAACTTTATTTACAAAAACAGATGGTAGGTTTGCCCATGGGCCACACTGTGCCAAGCCCTGCTATACAGCATGCTTTCAACTCTAAAGTCAGAAGTGGTTCAGTATTCAACTCTACCAGGCAAATTACTTAAACTGGGCAATTACTTGACCTCTCTGTGGCCCAGTGTCTTCATCTGTAAATGAAATACTAATAAATTCTTCTAAGTTTGGTATATCAAAATGATATAATAGCTATTATACATTAAAAGGCAAACAGGATATTCAGAATGTCTCAAATGAGCACCCGTTGGTTATCTGTCACAGACAAAGAGACCTATTTTATGAATTTAATGCCACTGAGCTGTAAACTAAAAAATGGTAAAGCTGGAGAGGGTGGCTTGCACCTGTAATTCCAACTACTCAGAAGACAGAGATTGGAAGGATTGTGGTTCAAGGCCAGCCTGGGCAAAAAGTTAGGAAGACCCCCATCTCAACAAACAAGTTGGACATAGTGGCACACTCTGTAATCTCAGCTATGCAGGTAGGATGACTGCAGTCAGAGAACAGCCTGGACACAAAGCATGAGACCCTATTTGAAATCAATCTAAAAAATAAAAAGGGCTAGAGGCAAGGCTCAAGTGGTAGAGCACTTGCCTGGCAATCACAAGGCTGAGTTCAAACCACAGTACCATCAAAACACAAGTCAAAATGGCAAACTTTGTATTATGTAAATTCACCGCAATAAAAAAGGGGGGTCCTAATACAATGTTGTATCTGTCATGCCAGGTCTGATGGCCTTGTCCATCTTTAGCTGTGATCTAACATGCATGGCCTCCAAGGCCATTGCTGCAGGGCAGAAGGAGCTGGAGGAGTCACAGCGGATCAGAGCCGCCCTCGCCCAGAGGACGGATCACTGTTCACAGCGCCTTGGAGAGAACCCATTGCGCACACAGCCCCAGCTTGACGGCAGCAGAGCTGGGAAATGCCTTTGAGCATTCGGTGAACACTGCCTGGGCCACAGCCCATCCTCTCCAGCCTGAGCCCTAGAAGGTGGGGATCCTCCTGACTCCTCTTGGCATCACCAGATGGTAGCACAGACCCTGGCTCAAAATATTCTACTTTTCTAAACAATATCTTAACAGATCCAACTTTTGGGGGGCACTGGGAGGGGTGGGACTGGGGTTTGAACTCAGGGCTTCATGCTTGTAAAGCAGGCGCTCTACCACTTGAGCCACACCTCCAGTCCATTTTACTCTGGTTATTTCTGGGGTCTCAAGAACTATTTGCCCAGGCTGGCCTCAAACCACAATCCTCCCAATCTCAGCCTCCCAAGCTAGGATTACAGATCTGAGCCACTGGTGCCCAGCCAGATGCAACCAACACACCCAGCTTTTAATAGCTGAGATGGGGTCTCTCACACTTTTTGCTTAAGGTGTCCTTCAATGTGGATCCTCCCAATCTCTGCCTTCTGAGTAGCTAGGATTACATATGTGTCACCGCACCTGGCTTGGCTAATTTATAGGTCTTTTGCTTTTCTTCCTTTTGGCTTTTTGAGACTAGTTCTCATTATGTAGTCTAGGCTGGCCTCGAACTCTTGATCCTCCTGCCTCGGCCTCCTGAGGGCTAGGAATCTAGGCATGCACCACAACTCAATTTGAGTTATAAATCAGAAGAAGCTCTGCAACAAAGAAAATGAGACCAAGACACACCCTAGGCAAACAATGGCAGAAAAAAGTCTTGAACACACCCAGATAAAAATGATACACAAAATAATGAATGACTCAAATGACAGCTCCATTTTACAATAGCTAGAAAATATACTTGGGATTTTTTTGGGGGGTGGGCAGTGCTAGGGAATGAGCATGCCAGGCAAGGACTCTCACTGCTACATCCCCAACCCTTAGGAATAAATTCAACAACAATGTATAAAACCTCTGAAAAGTACAATACTAAACAAAAGTAAAGGCCTCAATCAAAGGAGACATATATACTACGTTCATATGTTTAAAGACTTATTTTTTTCCAACTTGATCTACAAATTTGATGTAACCCAAATCATCCCACTAAACTTTTTTCTCACAGAAACTGCTAAGACAATTCTAATATTTATCTGCAAGTACAGATGATCTGAAATAGAATCAAATAGAAATATCCAGAACATGGGAGAGGGAGGGGGCGGGGGGAAGGAGGGAGACATGACCCAAACATTGTATGCACATATAAATAAATGAAAAAAAAAATCCAGATCAATCTTGAAATAACAACAAAATTGGAGGACCCATGACTTGAAGACTTACAATGAAGCTACAGCAGGGCTGGCAGAGTGGTAGAGCGCCAGTCTAGCAAGTGTAAGGCCCTGAGTTCAAACCTCAGTACCACCAAATACATAAATAAAGCTTCAGTAATTAAAATTGTATGGCACTGACATAGGGATTAACCAGTGAAACAGAAGGCAGTCCAGAAATCACCCATCTTAATTTCAAAAAATGCAATACATAGGCAGAGGAGTGGCTCAAGCAGTACAGCGCCTGCTTTGCAAGTGGGAGGCCCAAAGTTCAAACCCCAGTCCCACCAAAGAAATGCAATACAATAATATTTTCAACGAATGATGCTGGAATAACCAAATATCAGTATGTAAAAAATTAATTCTGAGTTATATCTCACGCTACTCACAAAAATTGAAGCTAGACACAGACCTAAACATAAAAGCCAAAACCATAAAACTCTTAGAAGAAAATATAAAAGAATATCTTCACAAACTGAAAGTGGCCAAGATTTCTTAGGACACAAAAAGCAGTAACTCTAAGCAGGGATGTAGCTCAATGGCAGAGGCACTTGCCTCTGGGTTCCATTCCCAGCACTAAAAAGAAAGGAATGATAGGCTGACTGCATTAAATACAAAACTTCTGTTTATCAAAGGCAACTCTAGGGAAATGGATAGGCAACTACACCCAAAGGACTGATGCCAGAAAAAGGATATATCAAAAACTCCGAAAACTCCGACAACTCACTAAGAAAACAGACGACATAATTTAAAGTGAGCAAAGTATTTGAGCAGGCACTTTACAAAGGAGGATATACAAATGTCACCACACCTGGGAAGAGTGCTCAACATCGTCAGTAATCAGGACTAAAATTAAAACCATAATGACACACCACTCTACACCCATCAGAAAGACTAAAAATAAAAGGACTAACACTACCAAAAGTTGGCAAGGATGAGAAGCAACTGGAACTCACACATTGTTGGCAGGAGACAGAAAGATAAAACTGCTCAGCTGCTAACATGCAGCGTCCTTCATGGAAAGGAAGGGTAACTGCAAAGACATCCACAGGCCCAAGGCGGAAGCAGCAAGGAGTATTCCTGGGTCTTGAGTTCTAGCGTTGTCTGTAATGAGAATTCTTCATTTTTTTTGTTTGGTTTCTGAGACAGGGTCTCAACTAGACTGGTGTGGAACTTACCACCCTCCTGCCTCAGCCTCCTGAGTGCTGGAATTACAGGCATGCCCCAGGGTGCCTGGTTAGAAGTTTGATCTTTTTAGTGGTTATTGCTTTCAGTCCTAAGATATCTTTGTGTATCACCAGGCCTGTGCCTCATCAAGATAGTCTTATACATGCATCTTCCCAAACATGACCAAAAAAAGACTTGGTAGGGAAGGGAGAGGGAAAAAGCCTGGAATAGGACAGTGGCTATGAGCAAGAAATGAATGAATTCAAGGTATTAAGAAGGTAAACAAGGATATGAGGGCAATCTGGCTGTGACATCTGTCTCCCACTGATCGCCGGGGTAGATTCGGCTGATGAGGCTGGCTAGTCGGGTGTTCCCTTCCTCCCTCACCACTCCATGTGCGTCCCTCCCAAAGCTGTGGGCTTGGTCGGCCATCCCTGATAGAAGAGGACTGTTCTTCACCAAGAGTATATGAGTAGCTGCACTCCCTGCTAGATCCTCCAAGCAAGCTCTCAAAAAGGTAAATAAGACTGGCGAAAAATGTTTTTATTCTTGTCCATTTCCTAAAAGCACTTCTAGTTGTGAAGGAGAAAGGAGGGGGAACATGATATGTGAGGAAATTTTCCTCTTCTGTATTACTTCTCATCTTCATTAAAGACAGGTGAGGACCTGACCTTGAAGGGTGATAGAAGTCACCCTAGAGAGCTTGAAACTCTTGTCAGCCATGAAAAAACAATGGGGACAAAATTTTTGGAAGCACTAGGGCTGGAACTCAGGGCCTCACGCTTGCTAGGCAGGTGTTCTACCATGTGACCCCAAGCAATGGAAAATTTTATACTTATGCCTCAGAAAGCCCTTTGTTCACGGTAATAACTAAGGTACAGATCCGTTAGGAGTCTCTACCACAGGACTCTACCACAGGGGAGTGGCTCAAGTAGTAGAGTGCTTGCCTAGCATCATGAGGCCCTGGGTTCAATCTCCTGTGCTACTACTTCTAATAAAGTTTTTTTAAAGTCAAAAGGACTCTCTTTTAACAATAGCCCAGAGAGGAAATGACCAAAGCTCAACCAGGACAATGGAAATGGAAAGAAAAGATGAATTCTGGGTCTGTCTTAGGCAAAGTCCAATTGATAAGACTCAGTGGTAGGAGAGATTCTGACAGTGAAGGTCAAGAACAGCTGAAGAGCAAGCCTGGGTATCAAGTTTCTTTCTTTGATTTTCATTTAGATACGTAGTGCTATAATATTTATGATACTTTAAAAAACTGGCAAGAGGAGAAAAAAATTTTAATTGAAAGAACTCTCAAAGTGTCATTTCTTTTGAAGCCTTAGCATCTTACCACACTCTAAACAGAATTAATCCTGTGTTCTCGTAGCATTTTACCCACACGTCTCACACCATAATCACGCCTCTCTGTACTTGAGAAAAGAAGAGCCATACACAAATCACTGAGCCCCTGGCCCTTAGCACGGCCCCCACTTTGCACATCGTATGAACAGCATTCTAGCCTCTGTCCAAAATGACCTGTGCAGAATTAAAAATGAATGTCTCGAGTGAAAAAAAAAAGTTAAAAGTTGCTGAGATTAAAAAATATCCACACTAGACTCTCTGCCCCTGAATAAATTAGCAATACTATCCATTCTCATTATTCATAGTTAGGTTCTAAGTGATCGCCATGAGCACTGAATCAGTGAATACTAAACCAGCTCCAGGTAAAATTACAGAGCTAGCCAACAGGTCAATACAAAATTTGGGAGCTGGAAATATGGATCAAGCCTTAGAGCACCTGACTAGCAAGCACAAAGCCCCAGTATTGCCAAAAACAAAAAAGTTTTATGCGTTCTTCTGGATAAAGGCATCTTGCTTCATATATATCAGTGATGCCATTAACAATGAACTCTTTACACTAACACATGACTGAACAGAACTTACCTAAAAGAAACTTACCCCCCAACACAAGCTCATCACAGCCTTCCTGCACTTAGCCACCTAGACGGCACTTCAGCACTATACTTGAGACCACTTTAAACAGCAAAACCACAAAAGATGCAAAAATGCAATAACTATAGCACTAATATTATTACTGCCAAAAGTAAAGGCTGAGGAGGGCCTCAGCTGGGAATGTGTGAATAGCGCAACTCAAAATTTTAACAACTTGGCCTGGAGCCAGTGGCTCACACCTGTAATCCTAGCTACTCGGGAGGCAGAGACCAGGAGGATAGAGGTTCAAAGCTAGCCTTGTCAAACATTCCCTGGACCCTATCTTGGAAAAAAAACAACACAAAACAGGGCTAGTGGAGTGGCTCAAGTAGTAGAGCACCTGCCTAGCAAGTGTAAGGCCCTGAGTTCAAACCCAGTATTGCCCCCCATCCCCCAAAAAATTAACAACTCTCCACACTTGGAAAAAGTATCACGAGTACTGGTTTGGGGAGTTACAAACAAATGTCACTGAGTAGGGAAATTTGCGAATACAGAATCTGTGAATAATGAGGGCAACTGGTATTATTCTTTCCCACAGCTAGCTGAGTTACCACTCATCTCTGGCTACACCCAGTTTATATGACAAGCCAGCAGGTGCTGATATATACTACATTACATACATCTCTGCCACCCTGAGAAGACCTGCCCACAAACACATCTCTGTTGTTAGCACTACCATGCATGGACTCATAGGTGCAGAACTGAAGATGTGACATTTTAAAGACAAATTGACCTACAAGACACAGACCATGGCTACTGGAGTGCCTGACCCAATTCGAGTTAAATGATGGTTTCTGAGGACTTGGAAACTTAGAACTTAGCTTTCAAATGTTTGTGCCTTGGTCTCCAAGGCACAAACAGGCACTGGGAAGGTTGAGACAGGATGGTGAGCAGGACATGCTTGGGCTGCATTGTACACATAGCAAGTTCAAGGCTAGCCTGGGCTACCAAGCCAGATCCTGTCTCAACAACAAAATTCTATGAAGCCACCAATATTCCTCAACTAATGGAGAAACCAAATGTGGTATGTCCATACTAAGGACTATTATTCAGTCATTAAAAAAAAGAAAATAAAGTTCTAATACATGGTTCAATAAGGATGATAAACACTGAAAACATTACCCTAAGTAAAATCAACCAGATACAAAAGGACAAATATGATTTCACTCATATGAACTATGGAGAGTGGCACGGGGACTTGGTAGAAATGCAGTGTCTGATCATGAGCTTGTTGGGGTGTGCTGCACATGTTCAACCTTTTGAATATGCTAAAAACCACTGAACTGTACACCTTACAAGGATGAATTTGGTCTTATTATCAATTAGGCCTTCATTTTTAAAGATGTGGGAAGGTTCAAAACACGACTGAATCAAGCGTCAAATTCTCTTTAAGCTAATCGTTCCTTCCCAGCTTCACCCACTCCTTCCAACTGCACTCAGCTGTAGACACTGCTGTCGACCACCAGAATTTACAGAGCTGCCGCAGGATCCACGCGGGTCTTGGGTCTCGGCTGGGCAGTGGGGTCCCGCTCCCTGACCCTACTGTGGGGAAGCCCAGACCCGGGAGCCCTTCCTACTGCGCCAAACGATCCGTGCAACATCTCTAGGCTGAGCCCACAGGGCGTGCTCAAACGCCGCCCACGGACGGGAATCCCGACCTGAGAGATTCCAGGTTCCACAACCCCCAGCCGGAACCACCCGAACGAAGCCGGTCCCCTCCCCACTTACGCCCTTCGGCAGCGCGCGGTGCACGCAGGGAGCTCTGTCTAGGTTATAAACCAGCAGAAAGGAGTTTAGCTAGGGGCGGCGCAGGGGAGACTGGGAAGGAAGTGCAAGGGACCCTGGGAAGAAGGTCAAAGCCCAAGAGCCCGCCCTTGGGCGGAAGGAGAACCGAAGTCGTAAATCAAGTCCGAAGAAGAGAACAGCCGCAAAGCAATCTGTCGGGTGCCAGAAAGCAAGCTGGAAGCGCCCTTGTGAGTTGTGCATTTTATGCGGCTCTCGCCGATGGTTCTTAGAACCGTGAGGCCTCTGGATTTCTCTACCGCTTTCTCTGGGCCTGCGGCCACCTGGATTTCCCCAGCCCCGCATGGCTCTTCTCGGAGCTGCGGCCTCTTGGGCGGCTCATCCCCCGCTATCCCACACTACCTTAACTCCCAGCGGCCGCCAAGGATGCGGGTGGGGGCGGGCCGCACTTGGGATGCTGCGGAAGAAGTACGCGCGCGGCAGACCTCCTGCGAGCGGGTTGTCTGCAGCGGGGCGGAGGGTAAAGGACTGGCCCCCGCGGGGGACGGAGGGCTCCACGGTGTCCCCTGGGACTGATGACGACGATTGCACGTCCTCAGCGAAACTCAGAAGCATGGCTTGGAAAGGTTTAGTCATCAACCCCAAATGAAATAGGTCCCGATTTACGAGGTTTTCCGCTTACCATGAGGTAACGCCCTGGTCCTGAGGCATCTGTACTAAGAATTGGGGGCGGGGGGGCGGGGGGAGTCACTCTCCTGTTTTCAGTTTGTTACATTTTAACCACCCAGCTCGGTGTGTCTGGGCAGAGATACTCGAGTCCATCCTACACGACGTGTCTTCTGAGAGGCTGCGTAATAGCCTCCAGTCAGAGCTAATGAATTATTTGATAAACGTGACGTTCCAAGTCAACCAAGAAGGAATTGTTTTTTTTTTTTCTTTATTGTTGTGCTGGGGTAAATTGTGGCATCTACAAAGGTTCTTACAATGTAAAAGAGCCTATTAGCCCAGGTTGGTCTGAACCTGAGATTCTTCCACCATCTGCCTCCTTAGAATCTGAGATTACAGGCGGTCACCACCAGGCCAAGTTCACTATGTGGGGGAAAGGTGAACAATTTTTGTTGTTGGTAGAGGTTGGTTTTGTTTGAGACAACTGTGACCATGTTTCTCAGAAACTCCAAAAAGAGAGAGAAAGACAAAGGAAAAGAAACCAAGAGACAATGCAAACATCAGGAAAATAGTGTTTTCTAATAAAACATAATAGTTTCAAAAAACAAAATATTGCATTCTACTCTTCAGTATATTAGTGTGTGCTAAGAAAAAAAAAAAAGGAAAATTAGTTAAAAGCAGCTCTTAGATACTGTACCTCCAGATGTGATACCTAGAGGGCACAAGTTCACTGACATGTTCCAACAAAGAATGCATAGCTTCAGCATAATCACACGGAAACAGACAAAATAAGGAAAATTAAAAAAAAAAAAAAGATGCATGTGGCAGGGGTAGGCAACACTGCATTCTTCAAAAATGTCATTGTCATTACAAAAAGTGTCCCAGAATAAAAAGATGACTAGCAAATGTAATACCCAAAGCTGGATGATGTGTTGGGAAGAAGGGTGCTAAAAAGGATATTTTTGGTTCAGTTGATAGAACTGGAATATAGATGGTAGATTAAATAAAATACTTTTAAAGTTTCACTTTTTTATTACTGAGGGTTTTTTTTTTTTTTTTTTTCTTTTCAGTACTGGAGTTTGAACTTAGAGCTTAAACCTTGAGCCACTCCACCAGTGCTTTTTTTGTGATGAGTTTTTTTGAGACAGGGGCTCAAGAGCTATTTGCCTGGGCTGGCTTTGACCCTCGATCCTTAATCCTCCTGAGTAGCTAGGATTATAGGTGTGAGCCACCAGAGCTTGGCTACTGAGCCATTCTTAAGGTAATTAAAGAAAAACAAAAATTTCCAATTTAAAGCGCTTTGAGGTCAGCCATTGCTAAAACAAAAACATGAGTCATTCCTTGCACTCCTTACAGTTCTACCTGGTTTTGTTACCAGATACCCAAATCCACTGTGGAATAGGACAGTTTTGCCACCATGCCTGGCTCCCAGTTGACAAACTTTTAATTGAACGATAAAATATTGCCAACTATAAGCATGGTGTGGTGCAGAGATCTCTACAACTTACTCATCTTGCATCACTGAGCCTATACACCCACTATTTCCTCCTCCCTCCACTCCCCCTGGGAACTGCCATTCTGCTTTCTGTTTGAAATTTCTCATACAAATGGATCATCCAGTATTTGTCCTCCTGTGACTGACTTATTTCACTTAATATCCTCCAGGCCTATCCATGTCAGAATCAACTTGGGTTGGGTCTTTTCTGTCAAAAGACTTAATCAGTAATCACTGCTGTTACAAATGTTAGTCTCACTAACTCACTTCCTATACACTCGCTTCATGGACTCTGC